TGCATAACAATATGAACACAGTAACTACAGGAGGTTTGTGTGAAACTAGCAGTTTGGGTAAATTTTGAGCAGATTATTTACTGTGAATTTTTTGCATTAGAGATGAGTGTTCCTAATTTTTTATTTTTTATTTCCAGCAATCACACACACTAAACAGGCTTCCTTTTTTGACAAATTCAGTGTTTTCTTCTCCCTGACCTTTGGCCATTATTCTATTAGCTCTTTGGTTGTCTTAACTGGGTACTTTTCTAAAGCAGGATGAGGCTGTTTAGCAGAGAGTGAAGGCTCTATGAACAGAGCTTGTGTTCAGCTCTTCACCGTGCCCTTATCCAGTTATATCTTGAATTATAATCTAAACATCTTCTACTTTACAAAAAGAGTGCTAAGATACAGGCCTGCACCTGCTGCATGTTAAAAAGAAAAACACCTTCAAATCAGGAAGGCCTGTGAAGCTTTGGTGACCCCTAGTGGGGATTGGGACCCCCAGGTTGGGAACCAGGATTCTAGACCAAGCTTTGTTGCTCTTCTTGTTACGTTGAACTCAGTTCACCATGTTCAACTGTTTTGACTTCATGGCCCGGTCATTTTTCAATTGCAGTCCTCCTGTGTGAGCGTCTATGTCAGGGAGCTAAAACACCTTCTTGGCAACGTGACGGTGCATAAAGGGAACGAGCATATTCTCCAGGAACTTGAGGCAAACCTGCAGGCTCTGGACCCACATCAGGAGGTAAGTCAACCAAAAAATGTCTGTATGATTTCTTGAAACATACTGAGCTCAGCAGTGGTGTGAGATGTAATACCGAAATGTCTCTGGTTCTCTTCCAGGCTAACCCCATATGCCGAATGGTGCAGAGAAGGAGTTTGCTACCTTTTAAAACATACACACTTTTCCTCAAGAAACTAAACCTGTCACAGAGAAGATGAAAACTCTGGCCTGTTGTTTGCCTCATGCAGGGCTGCTTCAGTTGTCACTGATAGGTTGATATGACCGGAGAATGCATTACTATGCAGTTTCTAAATCAGATTTTTTTTTTTTAAATAGCATCTATGTATTTATCATCACTATTTATGTCTATTTATTTCACAGCATATTTATTTATTTATATGAGACTGTTTGACATTGTCAGACATTTTCTATGATGTATTTAGCCTGTTGGATGGTGCAAAGTAATATTCAAAATGTTAAAAAGGTTATTCATATTTTTAATTTGCTATCGTCAAATAAATCAACTACTTTCATAATTTGTTCTCACTGAGTATTTGTAAATCCTTCACTGCTATGTTTTATGAGCCGCTATTTGGGTGTCAACAGAGAAAAGGCCAAGCAAGTAAGATTTAATTCAGTCTGTGTAAATTCTTACATAATAGAGAGCGCTAAAGCGATTCACTGTCTCTTTTATCTATTCTACCCATCTGGAGAACAGTAAGACATGACCCGTTTGCATGCCAGCGCACAAAAACACACATGGACTCACTTCAACCTGCAGAGATATGCATGACTGATGAATATGCAGGGCCATGTACCCACATGTGCACGCACAAACATGTAGCCACAGCCGCAGTAGCAGCAGGTAGGGCTGAGGTTTTCTAACATTTTGGGTCCTAAAACAGCTCGTTTTGCTCTCAGCTGTCTTACTCATAGCTCTAGTGTGTTTTGCGGGTGGCTAGCTACCTGTCAGCCCACATCAGAATAAAAGCACTCAGGAGTTTTGTCATGACTTGAATGGCTGCACAGGAGATGCTAAAGTTGTATCAGCAGAAGTCTCCATGAGCGCATGGTGTGATTGACAGACTGTGCGAAAATGCGTCTGCAGTTGAGGTTTGCCTTATCTGCTCTCATCATCTTTGTCACGTATAACTGTCTGAAGCAAATGACTCAGTGACTCACTGTATTTGTTTGAGAAGGAAAGTTCAGATGAGTAGACAATCACCATGTTTGATAAACCCTAACTCACAGTAAATGCAGCAGCAGCCTCCATGTGGAGTGAGAGCCTGTGAACTGTGTGTGATACGAGTCAAGAGGAGCAGCAGCTGCACCCTTGAACACAGAAAAGTACCTCAGCACCTCAGCTTGCTTGTCGGTCCCTGGTCTCACCTCTGACCTTTGAACTGTGGATCCTGTCTGGCTGCTGTGTCTTTGAAGTCCTCAAATCAGCACTCAGAAAAAGACCATGGAACAAGGGAAGAACATGAGGTCTTTTTACAAAAGAATGAAAACAATAAACACATGACTAATAAGCAGAAAGAGAAAAGGACACTGATATTTTACTCTTTCACAGGCTTTTAGGCCAATTTTAAATGATCTTGGAGGGAGGTGATCAGCAGAGTGTTGATACTGAATATCACAATAACAATATTTCAATCAGGATAGACTTGTTTTTTCTAGTAAAAAATATTTATCAACATGTGCACATAAGAAAGAAAAATGTGGAAAGTCTTTGGCGATTAGACCCAATAGAGATTGTATGATTTGAGGAGGACCCACCCCTGGGGTCTAGACACTGGTGGTGGTAGAGGTGGTGAAGATGAGATGAGAGGACGATGGAGAAGTGCAGATCATCTGGATGAGTAGAGGAATGAGCCTTTGTTGAGCTTGTTCTGGACTCTGGATATGATAACTGGAGGTGAACGGGGTGGAGGAGGGCGCGACAATTGCTGCTTAAAATGACAGCTGACAACAGCAGGGGAGAGAGCAGATTAAAAATTTTGCAGCAGAATCCTGATTGGCCGGATACAGATCGTGGCAAAGTTTGACTGGATAATTAGAAGAGTGAACGACCGTATTCAGCTGATTAGAGGAAGCAGTGGGAGTAGGAGGGAGAGAACTGTGAATGGATGAGCGCAAAGAAAGTCTTCCTGATTGAACTTACGCTGAGCTTCATTACTTACAGTAAATAAACAGATATTAAAGTGTAATCAGTTCTGCCCATGAGGCAACATCTGGGTCTGATAAATAAAGCCAACACGTGGCAAAAACCGCAGTTCTATGAATAGCCACTTGAGGCTGGCTCCACAAAGAAAGCACAAAGAAAGTTCTCCTTAGGAGCAAACTTAGCTCCTGGGGGACCCCAAGGTGCTCCCAGACCAGATGAGATAATCCCTCCTGCGTGTTCTGGGTCTGCCCCGGGACCGACTACCACTGGGACGTGCCTGGAACACCTTCAGCGGGAGGCGCCCAGGAGGCATCCTGATCAGATGCCCAAACTACCTCTACTGACCCCTTTTGACGAGAAGGAGCAGTGGCTCTAGTCTGAGCTCGCTCCAGATGTCCGAGGTCCTCACCCTATCTCTAAGGTAGAGCCCAACCACCCCAGGGAGGAAACTCATTTTGGCCGGTTGAATCTGTGATCTCATTTTTTCAGTCACTACCCAGACCTCATGACCATAGGTGAGGGTTGGGACATAGACGGACCAGTAAATCGAAAGCTTTGCCTTCCAGCTCAGCTCCCTCTTCCCCACAATGGTCCGGCACAGCGCCTGCATCACTGCAGAAGCCACACCAACTGCCAATCCATCTCACGCTCCATCCTACCCTCACTTGTGAACAAGACCCCAAGATACTTGACCTCCCCTGCTTGAGGCAGTAACTCTCCCCCAACCCAAAGAGGGGACAATCCACCAGCTTCTGGCAGAGAACCGTGGCCTCAGATTTGCACGTGCTGACTCTCATCCCGACCTCTTCACACTTGGCTTCAAACTGCCCCAGTGCATGCTGGAGGACACAGTGTGATGAAGCTAACAGAACTTCATCATCTGCCACAAGCAGAGAAGCAATTCTGAGGTCCCCAAAACCACACCCCTTTCTCCTCTTGGCTGCGCCTCGAGATCCTGTCCATGAATGTCACAAATAGGGTCAGTGAGAAGGGACAACCCTGGCGGAGGCCAACACCCACCAAGAACGAGTTTGACTTTACGCCGATGCTATTTCTTTTTTACATAATTTATTTTTTTGTGTGTCATATTACAAATGTAGTGTTTAATGTCAGAGTAGTTTATTGGTGCATAATCTGGATTAAGGCTAACAGACAGAGTGAGATATGGTAAGGGAAATGGCTAATGGAATTAGGCCTATTTTGGGTGACATGCAGTGTGTATTTCTTATTTTATTATCACTCCTTCAGTGTCATGGCTTTGACCCATCTTTTAAACGTCTTATAGGGTGGATGCTTGTGAAGGAAAAGGGTAAAAGCTGTTTCTTTTCCTCCTGTCAGAACTACTTACATCACTGCAAGGTGACAGCTGGCATGTCACGATTGTTTCTGCATCCCATGATGCTCTGCATGCCAGATACCAGCTTGAACTAAATAAAACAACTACGGGCATGCTGACAGACACTGCTAGGATTCTTCTTCCAAGCAGTGCACGATTTATCGGTCAGAGCAGACAGAAATAATGACTGTTGCTGAAGGTGACATTGGTCTTTGCATGGAAAACTCTGCCACAGGTGGATGAAAAATGAGAGTTTCTGATCTAATCTTCTGTCTGGGCATAAACCTGTCTTTCATAAATATCTCTATTTAATTCATTATAATCCTGCACAGGAGTAAAAACCTTCACAGGGAGAGTTTAATGTCCCTGCAGCTTGATTTCCCTCCACAGGCGCAATAGTTCACTTTCTCCATTAGGTGGCCTCAGCGACACACTGACCACGCATGTTTTGCCCCGTCCTCACTCAATTTTATAACCTGCATCTCAATTTAATTAAGATGTTACTTAAGATTTAATCAGGTCAGCTGAAGAGAAAGCACTGCTGCTAACAGGTAAATTTAATGATGTTGTAAACCTCTAAAGTCTGCACAAGAGGCCACTGATAAAAAGTCAAGTGTTAAGCACTGCGTCGTGCTGTGCATTAAAGGCAGTATAGCGTGATTGGTCGCCAAAGGGCCAAAGTCACATGCTCTCATTCACTTTCTCTTGAATGGGACAACGTCAGAGCGCCGGTGTTAGGCCGAGCCGCGGGAGCGCACAGTCTCCGGGCTTTGGCCGCAGACGCAAGCAGAGGCTGCAGCAGGACGCAGCCGGAGCGGCGATGGCTGAGTGACATCTGAGTATTTGTTGTGTGTGTTATTTATTTATTAACTGTCAGCGATGTGGAGCCCGTCGAGGATTTAATGGGACTGTGCTGTGCTCTGGTTTGTGTTTGTCGGACATGGAGACTGTGTGCCCTTTTGGATTGACTTTAAGCTGTTAAGTTCCCATGAAAGTGACCGGACGTTTATTTTGAAATGTCAACATCAAGCTACAGCTGGCACTGTGAGTAAGAGGTGAGTGTGATGATGATTAATATCAGAATAGAAATTTTGGGGCATGCACGTAGGAAGGTGTGACTCTTATTGGTTATGCCTTAATAATAACATTGCGCTCACGGGAAATCCCTTTTTATTCTGTCTATTTATTCTGTTTGTAATCGGATCATTTGCACAGCAATGCACAATGCAATCAGCTATCGCATAGGAGAGATCGGGACTGGTTGTCAAACGTTTTTACTTTAATTTGGATCCCTTAATAAAAGTATCTTTAATGGATTCTCTTCCAATGTGCAATGGAAGCCCGAAGTGTTAGGTATAGAAATAGAGGGACGTTTCTCTCCTTACCTTATTCTGCTCAAAAGATATGGACTGTCAAAAACATCTTGTCTGTGACAACATTCCTCCTACTAATGGTGGCATTAGTAGTCACACACTATGGAGCTGGTTATCCTTGTTATTTTAATAGAAGAGAAATAAAACTGGAGATAATTTTAAAAATGAATTTGAATTTGATTGAGATGGAACAAGCATATAAGCATACAAAGAACAATAAATGTGACAACCCAACACATTCTCACTCCGATCATGGACCTTCCACGTCCAGATATGACATGAAAGGTACCCTTTTGGATGTTGATGTTCTGGGACGCTGTGTCAAGTTCTGCCTGTTACATGTGTTGTCTTCTTTCAAAATACACTTCCCTTTTCACAGGATGTTTATTGTGTACACACTGTCTCTTTCAAAATAAATGCACTATATTGGTACAACAACGCGAATTGACCTTTTTCCCTTTGTCAAGTAACACACATGGGTGGGTTTCGGAAAATGGAACAGAGTTTGGCTTTATAATCTTACAGGATGCGAACACCGCTCTCCCGAGTGAAAGTGGATGTTTGCTGCATTTACTTTCATTCTTGTCCTGTCGTGTTTTCCCCTGATGCCACCGAGCGCTGTTAAACTGTAACAGCAACCGGCTGCGTATCGGATGCCTTTTTTGTCAGTTGTAAGTCACTGCCCAAGCTCCAGATTTTGACTTCGGAGTGAGACCGGGTTGGACAACCAACCTCGAAGAGAATGTGATAAGCATTCCCTACTGTTTTATATTTTATTTTATGTATATATTTTAGCAAACACCTAATCTAACAACAATTTTTCTATTTATTGTATTCATTACTAACAAGAATGAGAGCCAGTGGTAACTCAACAGATAAACAACTTAGTAGTTAACAAACAATAATAATAAGAATGGTATGTGCAATACAAACCCGGTCTTGCTCCGAAATCGTCCAAATCCAGCACTTGGGCAGTGTCTTGTGGCTTCAGACACTGACGAAAAAAACTGTCCTTTAATGTTAGCATGATATGCGCCTGGTCGCTGTTATATTTTATCGGCGCTCTGTAGCGTCAGGGGGAAACACAGCAGGACAAGAACCAAAGTTAAGGTGGCGAAAGTTCAAGTAGGGCGGGTGGCAGTGGTGGTGGATGGGTCAAACAAACACCAATTTTCATCTGGGAGGCCAGTGTTCGCATCCTGTAAGATTATAAAGCCAAACTCTGTTCCATTTTCCTAAACCTAACCACGTGCTGGAGAAAAAAAACATCAATTTGCAGTGTTGCACTGATGTGGTACATTTATTTTGAAAGAGATAGTATGTAAACCGTAAATTTCCTGTGAAAACAGAAGTATATTTTGAAAGAAGACGATGCATGTAACAGAACTTCACATCCCAGAATGTCAACATCCAACGCACCCAGGGTACCTTTCACGTCGTATCTGGACATGGAAGGTCCAAACGTCAATATATGACGAGGTCGGAGTGAGAATGTGTTGGCAATACAGCATGTGGTTTTGCCTTTTAATTGTCTCTTACTCCAAGGCTCTCTCCACACACTCAACTCCACCATTTCCCATTTCCATTTAATGAAAAAAAATTGCTACCTACAGGAAGACTCATCACTGTGACTAAGAAAAAACTAAACTTATCTAACTAATCTAAACTGAAGTGCTCCCTTCATACTTCTTAATAGTAATAACTGTTATAATGTAAACCCATTGTGTAAAAGCCAGCAGAGAAACACAGATGAGCTGGATGTTAACATTTTGACATGAAAAACATTCATCTCACCTCAGTGTTAAGTGTCTCACTCAAAAAATATGCTGGTTGGGGACCTCTGATCAAAATTTTGAAAAATTCAGAACCAACACTTTTTAACAGGGCCCTTCAGGAAGCAAAATATAATATAATATAATGAATGTGACAACCAACCCTGTTTTCCCCTACTCACCTTAAGAGCTTAAATAAACCTAAAACCAAAATAAAGTATTCTAACCAATGTTGCACTTTATGATAATAACTATTATCTAAACTAATACAGATATATCAAATGCTGTATAATTAATTTGTTTAATCCACAGGGGTGCTGATGACCTCAGTAAGCAGACAGAGGATGCTTAACATCACAGCAGTTTGGGAACCATAAACTGGGCAGAGAGAGTCATTCCACTGAGGAATTAAGGTACCACTACTTCTTCAGCTCTGCAGCTCAAATGATGTCAAATCTAATTTACAGAGTCAGGGGCCAAATGTCCTGCCCAGACAGGGTTTGCTTCAAACATCTCATCCTTTGTCATTTGTCAGAAGATACAATGGCAAAGATTGTTTGCAAGGCTGAAGCACAGGAGCCTCCTAGATTCTAACCCTGTGGATATAATGTAGCACAACTCTTCAGCATGACTTAAATGAACTCCCCCCAACCCCAACACGTTCAGGGATGGATCCCATGAACCTTACAACTGTAATCGACAACGGGTTTTTGGACGAGGCTCCGTCGAGCCGTGTCCTAACTGGCTGTTTCCTCTCGCTGCTCATCCTCACCACCTTGCTGGGAAACATGCTCGTTTGTGCTGCCGTCACCAAGTTTAGACATCTGCGCTCCAAAGTGACCAACTTTTTTGTGATCTCGCTGGCCGTGTCAGACCTCTTGGTTGCCATCCTGGTGATGCCGTGGAAAGCGGTGACAGAGATCGCCGGGTTCTGGCCGTTTGGCTCCTTCTGTGACACCTGGGTGGCTTTTGACATCATGTGCTCCACTGCGTCCATTTTGAACCTTTGTGTGATAAGCCTGGACCGCTACTGGGCCATCTCCAGCCCCTTTCGCTACGAGAGGAAGATGACACCCAGGGTTGCCTATGTGATGATCAGTGTGACCTGGACACTATCTGTGCTAATTTCCTTCATCCCGGTGCAGCTCAACTGGCACAAGGCCCAAACTAAATCCTACACCCCTCTGACTGGGTCCTCTAGCTCTTCAGGTTTCAATGCTACATCTTACCGCAGCCCAGAGAACTGTGACTCGAGCCTGAATAGGACCTACGCCATCTCCACCTCCCTTATAAGCTTTTACATCCCTGTGGCCATCATGGTGGCCACCTACACCCAAATATACCGCATTGCCCACAGACAAATCAGGAGGATTTCTGCCCTGGAGCGCGCGGCTGAAAGTGCCAAGAACAGACACGACAGCATGGGCGGAGGCTCCAGCATCGCAGATTCTGAGAGCTCTTTCAAAATGACGTTCAAGAGGGAGACCAAGGTGCTGAAGACGCTGTCAGTAATCATGGGGGTGTTTGTGTGCTGCTGGCTTCCGTTCTTTATCCTCAACTGCATGGTGCCGTTCTGCGAGCAGTCGAGCGGAGGGGAGGCTTTCCCTTGTATCAGCCCCACCACGTTTGACGTGTTCGTGTGGTTCGGCTGGGCTAACTCCTCCCTCAACCCCATCATCTATGCCTTCAATGCAGATTTCCGCAAGGCCTTCTCCATCCTGCTGGGCTGCCACAGACTGTATCCAGGAGGCCACAACATAGAGACAGTCAGTCTAAACAAGAAATGACTCATGACTCTCTCACAGCACTGACTCATCCTTAATGCTAAGAGTCCTAGTTCCTGTAGAGGCCGGTCTGATCGACTTCAAACGAGGATGCTGCTCTCTGTGCTGACTCGTAGTGTGACTGAAGGATACGGTGACCCTACATGTACCCGTGTTTGCATTAGGCGAGTGGCCTGTCCGCGTGCAGACTGTCAGAGTGAGCTCGCCGTGCTCACCGCAATTGCTGCACCGTCTTCAAGTGGAAGATGCTCCTGAAAGAGGAGAGGGGATTTAGGGATTGAGATTAAGACTCTTCGCTGTTGTGCCAGGAAGCTGGGAGCGCAGCGGTGCTGACACGCCCCTGGGATAGATAATCCCATGACTGGGCAGCACACACCCTAATGCTGTCAGACACCGCTCTCTTCAATACCATCACACACACGTACACAAACACAAACATTGTCAAAACATGCTCCTCCAAATTTAGTGTAAATGCAGCACCCAGCATGCACTCTATGACAAAGTACATGACAGCACACAGAAATACTGTTACTCATTACATTAACATCCTGTGCTCTGCGAGGAGTCCAGCAGTAAAGCGTCAAACCAAATCATGTTTAAGATGAGCATGTAGGTTAAGTACATCCACATGTGATTAAATATTAAAGCAAGAATGAACCCAGATTTGATTTTACATCTATTAATGTTGTGATTTTAGAAGAAAGTTCTGAGAAGTCGTCTCTTTTGGAGGTGAAAGTACACAGACGTGAAAAATGCAGCTTGTATCTCACGGCTGGTTCACAATTTATAGCTCATCCAAATGTCAGATCATTGTGACTTTAAACCAAATTTACTCAACAGACACCTCATAAAGTATTTGTTAGTCGCTTGAAAGTGTTTTATGGATGAGTCTCATATTTGTGTCCTGTATTTTTTGCAAACAACAGCTGATGACCTCTTTTAAGGAGAAGACACTGACCTAAACAAAGGTGTTGCTTGACCTGTGGTGTCTTTGACTATTGTGACCATGTAGGAGCTGAATGAACTGTCTGAATGTTATGTTTGGATTAATCAATTTTAATTAGCTCTTTAAAGTGAATTACTAAAGGATAATCTTGCTTTATAACAACATAGGTTTGGCTGTCAGTCAGATGCAGACAGATGATCAGACTAGTTGAAAATCTGCCCACAGATCATTGAAGCCACTACATTTGGAGACGAAACCAAAAGTCTGCACGTAATTAGTTTGACTTATTTTGAAAGCAAATAATCTAATCTGAAACTGTGTTGTGGAACGAACATTCATCTGATACTTCTGCTGCCTCTTGTGAGCGACAAGCTAATATTACCGTAATGCAGTTGCATTTTACAAAACTTACATTTATTGTAAGGTGGTGCACTTTAGTGGCACTAGAAATTAATATCAGCACAGAGTAGGAAGTGTGGAGATGTGGTATAAAAAAAATGATAAAGCACTGTTGTATAGAGATCAAAGATAAACCCATGGGGGGATATCTCCGACTTCTTTTACTAACAATGTAGCGTAGTATGCTAGTATGCATTAGCCAAAAGAATAATAGCAGAGTTTGCCTTTTTTCATGTAAACTTGGCTAAGCTGAGGGTGTGTTTGAAACCTGTGATCTGATTATCAGACCTAGAGTTGTCTGGCTTTGGTCTGAATCAGGGACTAACTTTGTTACAAAGTTGCATAATTGCCTAGAGTTGGTTCATGTTCTCACTGCAGCATTTACAAGCAGACCAGATCAAATGCCTTGCGTGAGGAAAGCTGCTCTAGATTTCTAGATAAATGTGACACTTTCTATGTTACAATGGAGGGACAACTACGCAGGTTGATTTTAGCGCTGGTCATCGTGTACTATATTGCTGTCATTGTTCATTTTAGTCAAACCATACAGTTTGAAAACGAGGCGCGGCTCCAACTAGAAAACAATGTTTTGATACATTGGATGTGCTGAATGTGAATATTAAGGCAGTATAGGAGGAGATACACATTAATAATCCTCCAGGACTGTAACATGCTCATGTTTAACCCAAACAATGTGTCACGTGACTGCAGTTGGTTCGGATCGAAGTCAGAACACGTTCTCACCACAAATGAACCGCACCAGAGTTTATCTGTAACCAGACTGAGACCACCTCTCCAAGAAGGTCTCAGTCTGGTTGTTTTGGTGCACACCAGAGTGTGATTGCTGTGTTCACGCCTGCCCAAACAAACTGCACTTAGGGGGCAAACAAACTTGACTTTGATTGAACCGAACCTAACAGGGCAGGTGTGAAAGCACCCTTAGTGTGTGTTCCCAGGTCTCAGCAGTTAAAGAAAAAGTTTAACAATTTGGGAGGGTTAGCTTCAGGCTGACTCATTCCAGAAAGTCAGCTTTTTTTGGATGACTTCCTGGAGTGCCTGTCAAGTCAGTGAGCCCGGTCAAGAAATAGTCCCACATGTAATCCTGTGGAAAACCTTGTTGTTTTTACTGTCTCTCTTCAAAACAACCAAATAAGATATGCAGAGTAAATCAGTGAGCTTTAGAGATGCTTTGCTTCTCCAATAAGCAAATAAGCATATGTCCCAAAATGTCAAACTATTTCCTTAACTCTGTGAGTACTTATCAAAAATAAAAGCCAAATCTATGACAAGATCCAGGAATTATTCTATAACGTGAAGCATTGTGTGGCAGACTATGATGCATAGCCATCATTATCACCGGCCACCTCTAATTTGGTGACTCTATTTATTTTATTTTTTTATATGCTAACTTCGCGTGAGCTACAGTGATCATTCATGACACAAACAAAAGCTCTAGGTGTTTGTACTTTGCTAAAAAACGATCTCTTTAGAATATGTAGTAGAGGTCTGACGAATGAATTAATGTTGTTATGTTTCATTCATAACATTATAAGCCATCAGAAGAAACAGTTGGGAAGTGTCTGCTTCAGCCATGTGGAAATATCTCAATGCACAGCTTAATAAAAGTGTATGTGTCCATGTTGGTGAAATCCGCTGTGTGGTGTATGTGTGATGTGCTGTGTGCAGCTTTGACCTCCACAGATCAAACCTCCTCAAGCACATTTCACACCAGAGTCTAAAGGGTAAAACGTACCGGGACCAGCTGTGTCTCACATCCAAAATTTCACTCTCACATAACTCAGGTGTTCATGTGTCTGTTTGGTCTGGTGATATATTGCCATCATTAGCAAAGTCAAAGGCCCAATCTGAACTTGTAAATAGCCTGGAATAATAAAGCAGTGCAATCACTGTGGCACCTTTTGACTTTGTTTCATTCATTCATTTATTGCACTAAAGTTGTTTTTTACCCCTAAGTGAATGCCTGAACTCTTGCAACAATACCTAAAACTAAAAGTGAATTTTTAGATCACAGCCAAAACAAGGAGAGGTGACTATACATTTCAGTTTTCAGTAACTTTGTATCAAGGATGCACCTGTCACATGAACTTACATGCCCTAATTTATTCAGATGCTTGAATGGGAGTGAGAGGGAGATGGAGGTAGTTGAAGTGCAGAGGGAGAGCAGAGCAGCGACAAGGACGTGTGATGGATTTTATTTTTGCGAGACCCCGTTAAACATCCCCTCATGAATCTGCCTGCTATCTCTTTATTAATAAATCAAAATCTAAGATGATTTGAGATTAAGCTTTTGTTTATTCAAACTAATGAATATCTCGATGTCGATGCGCCAGGTCTTTAATAATCATAAAAATCGGAATGAGATGTATTTAAGTGTAAAACGGCCACAGCGTGTTGTCACATCAACACTTGGAAGTGACTGAAGAATCATGAACGACTCTCATTAAAAGGCAAGTCTCCAAAGATTTAGAGGACAGATTTTTTTAATCAAATTCAGTTCATGTTCATTAGGAATATGAAAAAGTGTAAATACTGTGATGATAACTCTTGCTTGCTTGCTTGCACACACACACACACACACACACACACACACACACACACAGTTGTCCTTTAAAGCCCACTTTCTCTGGGCCCCGGACTGTCCTTGCCTCTGTGAAACCTCCTCAAGCGTGACACGGGAAGGGAACAGTAATTAATTTGACTGACATCATTCAGAGTGATGGCTGAGGTGGCGACAAGACAGGGTGTGTGTGCATGTGTGTGTTTATGTGTGTGGTGTAGGCAGTGTGACTGTCACCTGCTCCAGTGCCCAGCCCAGAGTCCCTGCAATGTCAGCTGCACTCTGTAAACACAGAGAATTTGTTTACTTTCGCTATCTTTGTGTTGCCGTGGAGTTTGTGGGGTTCTCAAAGCGATACTGTCTTTTTAGATTGGCACGTCGGAGGAGCGATGTTAGACGTGGCAACTTCAGATGATGCTAATGACTTGCCCTGAGGAAATGATTTACTGAGGCAGGGAGGGAGAGAGAAGGGGGCAAGGAAAGAGACAGAGTCTTATGTAAGTATCAAGCAATGGCTACTTAAAAAGGGAGACTCAAAGGATGCTCTGTAAATATCACATAACCCACAAGTATCACCAAAGTCAGACTGCTGTCACATCCATAATGCAGTATCCTCTGCGGTCTGCGGCCGTCTGCTTACGGCCGGGCACACCTGGCCACGTGAAAAGCGGATTTTTAATGTAGTTAATGATTTCCATGTCACCCTGTCTCTCCAGTCGGCATCTTGGGGAATTAAAATGCAATTAAACAGTTTGCCGTGATCTGTATTACTCTCCATTAAATATGTATTATTCACAACTGGCAGAGCTATCATAATTGCGCGAGAGCCTAATGCATTTTTAATACCTCACACGACATCAAGATAAGCATAATTGAGAGTGAGCGTGTTGGTGGCTCCATCCAAAGTGCGTCAACACAGTTACATGCTGACAGACATGAAAGCACTCCATGCACTGCATGTTGAAAAATGCTGTCGCTCTGTTTGTCTGGTCTCCTTGTTGAGGTAAACAGATGCTCTACATTCATTTTTAACTGACAGAGAAAGAAGATATCAACAAGACATATCAGGGCCCTGCTGCAACACACTCAGTCATCTAGTGGGAATTTGAGAGGCTATTTTCTAAACAGTAGAATACATTTTAAAGGAATGTAAACACATTTCATCCAGTGATTCAAAAATAGATACAAGATCGCCCCGCACATCTTTTGACCTTTAGTTTTTGTCCTTTGCGCCAAGCCCCTCGATTCCTCTTCCTAGTTTACTCCTGCTCTTCATTTCTCTTTCTTATCACACCCCTCCGCGCTCTTCCTTCCACCCTCGCTCTATTTACTGTTTGTGCTGTGGGCCGCCGGCAGTGCTGCGTTGCCATTCGTCACTCCAACTGGCTCCAGTGGAGAGGACAGGCTCTCTGACCCCACCACTGGGAAAGGAGCAAGGGAATGAGGGGAAAGGGAGAACCAGAGAGGGTTCTTCAGAGAGAGAGATGAGAGCAGAGAAACAGAATTATTATAGAAGACAGAAAGGGAGTACACAACAAATGGGGACCTTCTGACTTTCAATACTTTTTCCACGGGTCAAAATAAACATTAGAATACACAGATGCATGGCAGATTAAAGGAAAAATCAATATAAAGACCATGCAAGTCTCTGAAACTCTACTGAAGAGTGACTCTTCAAAATATATCAGGGGTTTCCATGACAGTGGCGGAGGTGCTGACTTATGGTAAGTTGTTGTGACTGTGATCAGATCATATGATTCACATCATTTTCACCTTCATTAAATCACTGAGTCGCCCTTCATGCTCTGTATTTATGCATCTGCTTCCATTATGTTGCTTGATCCATTTAATGAGTTTTTTTTCCTTCAATTTGTCACCCATCTGTAAGTGGCAGGAAGTGAGAGTGAGTGAGAGCGAGAAACGATGCTGTTGAACAGAGAGGTACAGTAGAAGCAAAAGGCTTCCTAATGAGAAGAACAGAGCTACTGTTCAGAAAACATCCTCATTAAAGGGTAACTTACATATTTTTTCAACCTGAAAACTATTTTACTGTGTTTTTGTGTCTAAGTGACTGATGGGAACCACAATGTTTGATATTGGTCCAGTGTGGAGCAAGAACGCAGAAGCCACCAGCAACGAACAGACTGCGTTGTAACCACTTTGGGCATTTGTGCACCGTCAATATACGTTCACTGAGGCGGAATTTATACCTCTGCATTGAATCGACGCAGTAGCTATGACGTAGGCTCTGAATCAATGTAGAGCTGACGCCATAACCTAAGCCTTAGCCTGATGTGCACTTCCTAGAGATGTAACTACATGGTCGCAGCAACACAGACCTCTTGTCTATTTTTGTGAGCTGAAACCATTTCCCTCAGTGGAAACAAAGCTTTTATTTACTTAAATTTCAGAGATAAGAAACAATAAAATTGTGTAGATAATAAAGCCTCCTCAAAAATAGCATTTTAAGTCTTGTGTGTGTGTTTTCTTTAGGGGATTTACTCTCTAGGATTCATCCTAGCTTCCTATGAGCAGAGGAAGCCTCCGCTGGTTGCTAGGCTAATTTATACAATGTATAATGCCCCAGGCTTGTGCTAATAACGTTAGCATGTTATATTTGTTGGGACAACATATTTAGTATAAGACAATTGTTTTGTCAGTGAGCCTTGTGAGTTTTAATGGAGCCGAATTTTGTAAAGTTACCTTTGTAAAATGTTGCTGTTGTCCCTGGCTTCATATGAGAAGAGGAAAAGATCGCTAGCTGCTA